CCAGAACGACATTTGTTGAGCATTGCCGCACAGTGCTTTCTCTAGCACTATTGGGCCCCACACCTGGTTAATTTGTTGAGCTGTTTCGATTGCGGATTGCCCCAATTTATAGCCGAAGAAAAAATCGTCCGAAGTGCTCTTTTCACATGCTTGAAAAAATCTTGAAAAAAGAGGGTTTATCAAGCAATGGTGAAACGGCAATTATACCATCAAATAGCGCAAGAACTTCTACAGGATTGCTACTGAGAAGCAAGGCAGAATGAGTTTTTAATCAGCAGTGAATGTACAAAATAGGTGCACAAAACGCTAAGAACTTTCCGGACAACTATGACTATCAGGAAGAGTAGAAAAAAATTGAAAAAATTAAAAATAGAAAAAGGGGATAGTTGAAGCATCCGACACTGGACGATGGTGGGGGCGCTGAACGCATTCTATGTGGTTCCCTCCATAATCGTAAAAGACATCTCGAATGCAGTTTGACCAACGTTTCTCGGTCTGAACTGTAGCAATCATCGTTTACTGAAGTGGGAAGTTTTTTTTGGTCGCACAGATAATCGCTCCGGGATTTAACCCTCATGGCTAGATCGCGCGGATAAGCAGAGTCACTCATCCTCACAGTCAGAGCCTTCCTTCACATCTGGGGAGAGTGATGCCAAGCACGATTAGGATCCGCTTCAATTTCACAATAGCAAGCATGAAATCGAGAAACTAGGTTTCGAATTTTTCAGAGGAGTTACGGTTGCCCATGACGGCTACGCACCAGGGCGATTCACCGATGAATTTGGAAATCCTATCAATGCTGATCACCATGACTACGCGTATGTTAGGAACGATGTACACCGTAATTTATTGTAATGAGCCATAATTGATAATAATTATTAGAACTGGGTCATGAGCACTGTTGCTGAACTTTCTTAGAAATATCGCTAGTGTTCCTCACAGGGCATTGCATGTTTTTTAGAGAATATTTGCAGCTCATGCTTTCAACAGGGTAGGCATAAAATGCCAACCATATTCACATTGATCTCACATGTATGTTATATTATGCTTCGTTTTTGATTACTTTTTAAATTTCGTTGTCAGGAACGGGTACTTGATTATATAAAGTTTTTACTAGATTATTTCACAACAGTTTGAATACAGTAGTACACTGCAGTGTCTACCACAGGGTAGAGCACCGTGATGTATGAAATGGCGATGTCAGCACGACCCCCCTCAATATTTCCTCATCCGATACGACCATCTTCCCTATCCCTGCCCACCACCTTCCCAAGTTCTCCCAATTCCCACGAAAATGCAAGCAAGCTATGAAATTGCGTGCAATCTGAAGAGAAACTTAAAAAAACAGAAAAGAAACAAAGTAAAGACCCCCATTATAGATATGGGACACTTCGCCGTACAGCGCACCCGAGTTTATTTATACATTTATTTATTTATTTGTTTGTTTATTTGAATACACCCGATGGTGTGCCACAGTCTTAGAGAAACAAATTTAAAACAAAATTGTAGGAATAAATGGAAGGATTGTGGAAGTTGCCGCTGGATCCCTCGGAATGTTCGAACGCCCCCATGCAAACTCGTTTCACAGCTCTGCGCGAATACAGCAAACCGCTTTCGCTCTCATAATTTTGTCATTTCCATTCCAGTTATTGATCAAGCAAAGAGTGGAGACGAGAAGAGGATCTCGGGTGTTCCAAAAGCCTATACTTCGCTGCAGAGTCGCTTGCTCGTTTCAACGAATGATGGAGTGAGAGCTGGCGATGGGCCGAACCCAGCCGCCTCTCTCACCACCTGACACGCCCCAGCGTCTGCAGCGAAAACGAATGCATACTGCCTTGAAAGTCGCTCGAAGAGAGCGAAGTCGGGACTGACATGATCTGCTACCCTTAATAGTGGGTCAGAAAAGGATACTTTTTCATAGGGGTGCATGGCTCGTGCATGCTCAGGAATGACAGAACTATTAATGTGAATATTCTCACTGAATTTCAGAAACGTCTGGCACTTGCGCGTTCGAAGCAACACTCGAAAAAATCTTTATTTCTTGTTACATACCTGTAATACGTAATAGGACAGTACTCATAACATTTAGCCACGGGTTAGAATCGAGAAACACCTGTTTTCCTAGTCATAAAGGATATGCCTCTTTTCCCGGCGTTATTCCTGATCAAGTGTACAAATTTTTCAGAAACTATTTTTTAACCCATTAGTCTAAGCTCTACTAATTTACTCCATAAGTTAATCGAAATATAGTTCATTCAGCTGTCTCAGCGGCCATTGATTCAGAATCTAAGGGGATACGATTCATGGAAGAAGTACATCTCAAATAGCCACGGGTTGAAGACAAGCTGCACGCTACCAGTGAGATGGATCCGTGACACATGGTTAGTGGCGGAGTGAGCAGCTGTAGAAGTATGCCTACGTTGTCATAAGAAAAGGTGCAGAAATGTG